AATATATATATTTATACTTTAATATATACTAATCTCTTATTTTTTTCAATTTTTTGTTGTTATTGATAAGTAATAGACTAATAATTTTTTATTGAATTACTTATTTTTGTTTGTTTGTTATAGTAATAATAATATTGATAATTATAACATATATATAATTTGTTTTATAAAACTCTATATTAAAAGTGTCAAACAATTAAGTATAATATTATTGTGTGTATTAATACATAACCACTTGATATCACATACAACAACAAAATATATTAATTATTATACTTTTTATTAAACAGTAAATATAACAATATATATATATATATATATATATAATAGTATATTGAAATAAAAATATTATTAGTAAAGCTAATGGTTTAGAAATTATATTTCTATAACTAAAAGTTAATTTATATACAGTATATACAGTATATATAATAATAATAATAATAAAAATAATAGATTAAACTTATATTAGAAATATTGATATATATATATATATATATATACTATTTATAAATTAAATATATATACAGTATATATATATATATCTATAAGTTATATAAATATATATATATAAAGTTAGATATCAATAAAATCTACTTATAATCTTATTTTCTTTAGCTTTTAGATAACACAATAGATTTATATTACAGTATTATATACAGTAGTCTATGGGTATTATACTGTATATTATACACATAAACACATAAAATGTTGTGATAATTTTATGGTATATTTCACTTATACTTTAGTATAGACTATATCAATAATACAATAGTTTCTTGCGGTTTATATCTTTATTATTATTATTATATAGATTTAAGAGTCAAATCTAGACAACAACAACAACACAATAATATCATACAAATAATAATAATAATACAATTGAGTTGAGAGTCTACTATATATGTGTGACTTATATATATATATATATATATATCCAATAATTCAATACAATATATATAAGTCACTGTCAATAGTATACAATACAATAGTATAATAGATATGATATATATATATAAAGATTTTAATACATAAAATTCAATTGAAAAATTGTGGTGTGAATTATATTTATTAATATATATTATATATATATATATATATAAGTTAGTGGAAAAAAATATATAATACTATTGTTAAGTTTGTGGGATTCAGTCATTGATTACTAAAGGGACAGTTATGTTATATAATCAATTGGTTTGAATCAAGTGGATCCCGGAGTCCCACACTTAGTGCAAAAAAATAGGATATATTATACTATTAATCAAAGTCTACAACACACACACACACACACACACACATACATACACACACATACATACACACACATAAACCAGTAAATAAATTATTATTTACTATCAATATATAACAATTTTTTTGTTGCTGTATTTTCCAATTAAACTGATTGATAAGTGAAATATAATAGTTGAAAAAAATTGATTTATTTAATACAATTTTTTTTAAAAATTACAAATTAATAATAAAAAGTATTAAAACCAGCTAGCTAATTTATATTTTATGTGTTAAAAAATTACTTAATTATTTAAAGATTATAACATATATATATATATATAAATATCTAATAACTTATCTAATTATATAACTTAATATATATATTTTTTTATTAATAATAAATAGATATGTTTTTATCCATAGTTTACTAAACCATATAATTGTATGTCAATTATTATTAATCTTTTAAATATACAATACATATATAAATACTATATATTTTTATTTCAATAATAACTCTCTCCCTCTCTCTCTCTCTCYCTCTCTCTCTCTCTCTCTCTCTGTCTATTATGTATAAAGATTTTTTTAATACAATGTGTATGTGTATAGACTTTTTTGAAGTTTGAGAGCCAAGCCATCAAATATAGCTACCAGTGCTGTGTGTGTGTGTGTGTGTGTGTGTGTGTGTGTGTGTGTGTGTGTGTATTAATGTGTGTTTTGTATTAACAGTTATTATCCAAACATCGCTAGTTTGGCTAAATAATAATAATAATAATAACAAAATAACAATAATATAATCTATACATACATGTACTGTATTTGTGTGTGTGTGTGTGTGTTAATCATTATTTTATTTTTGTTTTACAATTGTTATAATAATTGTGAAATAAAAGATAAAACTGTATTCAATAGCAGTAGAGTTAAAGTTAGAGAGAGAGAGAGAGAGAGAGAGAGAGAGAGAGAGAGAGAGAGAGAAAGATAGAAATAAATAAAATAAAATACAATAAATATATATAAATAAAAATAGATTTCAAGTGTTTTATATATAAAAAAATTTTTGTTTTAGTAAAAATAATAATAATACATATACTTTATAATAAATTATAGATACTTTATATATATATTGTTGTTTTGAAATTTTGTTTTTCAAACAATAAAAAAAACTAAGCAATAAATTTATAGATTTTTTTCTATATATTTCTGTATAAAAATAACATTTTTATTTTAATAATTTAAATTTATTTCATTGACTTTTTGTTATTTTTATTACTGTATATAATAATAGTATTATAATCAATGTTACACTAATAACACACTGTATAGGAAAGTACCACAAAAAAAAATTAAATAATAATTTTGTTATAATAATATAATTTAATTAATTTTAAATCAGTCATAATTGTATTGCAATTTAAAATAAGGTAAATAATTAAACATAATTATAATACTAATATTTTTTTTTATTAAAATTAATTATTATTTTCAAGTTAATATTGATATCTATAATATATCGATAGTATACAACAAAATAATAATAATAATAAATAAAAAAAATCAAGTTTATTGCTAATAATATTGTTAGATTTTTTTTATAGATTTATATATATATATTATATATATTTCAGGGAAAATATCCTATAATATACTGTATATGATATTATATATAAATTATAAATCATATATATATATATATATCACAGTATATTGCAAAAAAACTACTACAAATTTTTTTTTATTGTAGGGCAAAAAAAAGTGATGAGTAAAGAGAGAGAGAGAGAGAGAGAGAGAGAGAGAGAGAGAGAGAGAGAGACTAACTATGACTTTACTAACAAATAAATTGTTGGACCGTTTGATTACTTCCAGAGGCAATAGTGAATTGCTTTATATATATTATATATATATACTATATATACATATATTTCCAGAAAAAACTGACTTTCCTTTACTTTTAGCTCCCTTTCCTTCTCCCGTCTCCCGTCTCTCTCTCTCTCTCTCTCTCTCTCTCTCTCTCTCTCTCTCTCTCTCTCTCTCTCTCTCTCTCTCTCTCTCTCTCTTACTCTTTATTTATCTTATAGTTGACTACTAGTAGTAGTAGTTGTTATCTCTTTATTTTATTTTTATATATTTTATTTTAGTTTTTTTTCTGCCCTTAAAACTAATAGTGAGTTTTTACTACTACTACTACTACTACTACTACTACTACAACAAATAATAACAAAAATTTTTTAATTTCTTAAATGTCACTTAAAAAGCTATATATATATACTATACTATTGTGTTGTTAACTAATTGTTTAAATAATTGTTTGATAGTTAAAACTCTCTAAAAAAAGTCTATATCTATATATATATATAATTTTTTATGTCATTTTATTTTAGTTTTTTTTAAATTTTTATTTTGCCAATTTGTTTTAGTTTTGTTATGTCCAATTGATCCAGACAATAATTTATTATTATTATTATTATTATTATTATTATTATTATTATTATTATTATTATTATTATTATTATTATTATTATTATTATTGTCTAATAAATCAATAATATCTAATGTTAAAATATATATATATATATATATATATATATATATATATGAAATTAATGTCATATTAAATAAAATTTGACAAATAAACTAAAATCATAACTTTATTTTTTTTTGAAGTAATATTATTAATGTTTTTTTTTTGGAAAAAAAATAAAATTTATTACTAATTATATATATATTTTTTTCAATAGGATTTAAATTTGTGTGTGGCATTGTTTTTTTAAAAATAATAAAAATTTTAATCATTTATTTAAGAAAATAAATATATGTGAAATTAATAATAATAATAGGGTTTTTAATTGGCAATTAAATAATTAAATAATAATATTAAATAACATAAACTGTAAATCAATTTATTATATTTAACAACAAAAAAATCTCAATTATTACCTTATTTTTTTGTTAAGTACCTGTACTTAACTTATACTGTATAAAATAACTAACTTAATAGTTAGTACTAACAGTACTTTATATTAATAATTACAAAAAAATGTGTAATAATAATAATAATATATATTATTATTATTATTATATGTGAATTGCTATTGAATTAGAAAATTTTATTTCTAATATTATATATATATAGTTATATAAAATTAAATAAAAAATATTTTAATCTTTAATAACTAGAACTTACTTAAAAAAACAACAATAAATATTCACGTATTTAATAGAAAATAATAATAATAATAATAAAACCAACTAAACTCTACATCTAAACTAACTCCCGGTGCTCTCTACAGTATATACTGTATAATAGTTGTTGTGTACAAAAAAATATATATAAATATTTTGTTGTTGTTGTTTCAATGAGATTATCAACAATACTAACATAACTAATAAACTATAAAACAACAAAAAATCTATTTTAGAAAAAAATAACTAAAAAAATTATTAAACAGAATATTCTGCAATAATGATGAAAATAAAAACATAAAAAATAATTTCTAATCTAACAAACAAACAAAACAAAATAAAATGCAATTTAATAAAAAATTTCAATTATTATTATTAGAAACAATTACATTGACTGCTAATAATAATAATAATAATAATAAAAATAAAACAAGTGATACTAATAATAATAATTGCAAATAATTTTTATGTTTGTTTGTGTCCATTGAATTACAAACAAAATGTTATTATTAGTATTGATGTCAAACATAGTTGTAATCATAAAAAATTTATTACTAATTACACGTAAATTAATGCTACTATTGATGTTAGTAATGCCAGCACTGGTAGTTATTTTGCTAACTGCTAGTTCAACCAATGCCAGTGCCCATATTATACATGTTGATAATGCTGCTGATGATGATGATGTACTGGCAATGATGGTAATGCCTGGCGATGGTGCTGGCGATACTACCGGTGGTGCCGTACGGCATATAATTAGCAGTTTAAGTCAACAGGAATTAAATGCTAGTAGTATTATTGGTAAACTACATACCAGTGCTCTAACAGCACTGTCACTATCGTCATCATCGTCAGGAGGACCGGCAGCTGATGATGACGACAACAACGATAAGCTATTACTACTACACCAACAACAACATAGTGGCCAACTGTCCACATCAGACACGGATAGCTATTATGGTAAGTGGTGTTTGTTTTTTTGTTTTTTTGTTTGTTTGCTGTTTATGGTGTCTATCACTTTGTGTCTTTACTATACATACATATGTAACTTATGTAGAGGGATCAAAGCACTGGTAGTTTTGTTGTTGTTTATAAGGAACGGGTGATATGTGTCAATCGGTTTTTCTTTTAGTTATTTTTTTTTGTATATAAATAAAAATAAAAACACATTATCTGTAGTTTTTTTTGTTGGTAGTGAATGACTGAGTGCTGACAACAGGGGTTTTTGTGTAGTTTTTTATATATATATATATATTATATTTTACTTTATTTTCTATATATTTTTATATAAGTATATATTTTTTTTGGTCATCACTACTGGCAATAGTGATGCTGTGATCTACCAGTGCTCTCATATATATATATATATATATATAATATAAGAGTATGACATCGATATAGATGTCCTCCTCTTATAGTATAATATATTATTAATGTATATAAAAAAATAAATATTTTTTTTGTGTGTGAAGTGCTAACAAATTGATACTAAATAATTTAATATACTTTTTTTATACGTATATATTGTATATATATATATATATATCGGTAATATAGTTTGTAGTGTAAAATATTGTTATTATTATTATTATTTTTGTGATTATCTAAAGGAAACAGGATATTACTGGTTTTAATAACTAACAAAAATAAAAATAAAATAAAATTGTAGACAAAAATTTTTAAGCATATTATTTCAGTGTCAACTAATGTGAGTCAACTATTTATATAATAATAATAATAATTAATATTTTTTTTGAAAAATTAACTTGATTATTTTTATTATTATTGTGTATGTGTGTATTTTGCAAAAAGATTTTATTTTATTTTTTTTTATAAAAAATGTTATTTAATTAAAATTTTATATTATTTTAAATATACGTATATTTATTGATCCGATTGTAATATATAATGATATAAATATAAATTATAATATATATATATATTAATTATAATATATATATATATGAATTATAATATATTTATATATAAATTATATATTTCTATATTATTTCTAAGTTTTTAATTTAATGGTATATATGTTAGTTGAATGTATAATATTGTATGTTTTAAGGTTGACAATAATGCTAACTACATGTCATTGTGTTTTGTATGTGATTATAAACAAATATGTTTAACATAGACACACACACACACACACTAACATAGTTGACAAACAAACAAACATCACAAATAACATATACAATATATAATACAATACAACAAAATAATTGTCATGGCTAATCTATTGTCGTAAATTTAATTTTGCAAACTARCATTGATGTTAACAATACAACTATACGCGTGTAAATTGTGATTATTGGTGTGTGTGTGTGTGTGTGTGTGTGTGTGTGTGTGTATGTATGCATGTGTGTGTATGAGTGTATGTATGTGTGTGTGTATATATGTATGTATGTGTGTATGTCTATATGTGTGTGTATTTATGTTTATGTATATATATATATATATATATATATATATATATATATATATATATATGTGTGTGTGTGTGTGTGTGKATGTATGTATTTGTGTGTGTGTATATGTGTGTGTGTGTGTGTGTGTGTGTGTGTATTTGTGTGTATGTATGTGTGTGTGAGAGAGAGAGAGAGTGTTATACTACTAATACTAATGCATTATTTGAATCAATCTTTTTTTATACTAAAGAGAGAGAGAGAGAGAGAGAGAGAGAGAGAGAGAGAGAGAGAGAGAGAGAGAGAGAGAGAGAGAGAGAGAGAGAGAGAGAGAGAGAGAGAGAGAGAGAGAGAGAGAGAGAGAGAGAGAGAGAGAGAGAGAGAGAGAGAGAGAGAGAGAGTATACGGTATTATCATCACACCAGTGATGCTGCCGACGACTWTACTGATGCCCCTACCAGTGCTCGCCCAGTGATTGCCGCCACACACACACACACTGTTAGCTAAAAAAACTATATACTGTATATTAGTAGTTATATTTGTGTGCCAATCATTTCCCATTTGCCAAACACTCTGTCATTATCTGACAGTTGACTTATTCATTGATTCATWCATTCATTTCACTCGGTAGGCATCTCCTCTGTACATCCCTATCCTCTTTATCTTTTAGCATCACTTGCTGTGTGTGTGTGTGTGTGTCTATGTATGTGTTAGTGTGTATCTCAATGTGTTTGCTAAACAATATAGCCATTACTATATGTACTGTATATCTACATGTGTATGCTATCACATCAATTGACTGCACCTAACGTTTGCTAACATACATAGAAAAAAACATTATATAATTTATATGTACAGTATATATATATATATAATKTATATTTTTTTATATTCACTTATATAATACATATGTTTTATCTATTGAGATAACTAACTGTATCTATTAGTCTACTAACTAATGATTGAATATATATATATGAGTATAATTCAAAAACATACAAACATTTATATAGTTTTTTATATAGTCTATTGAAATTTATTCATACATTTAGACACACACCCACCCACATACACACACACACACACACACACACACATATATATATATATATATATATATATWTATATATATATATATACATTGCCACTTAACTAGCATCCATATCCATAATAACATATCATAAATATCAATACATAGTAAAAAATAAATAAATAAATTGAATTTTTAAAAAAAAACTTAAATTTATACTTTATTTTACTATTTAAAAAAATAAATATTTAATATTATTTTTAAAAATCTAAAATAATTTTTTTTGTTGAATATTAAAGTTTAAATCTTTAAATCTAATAATATTGTAATAATACAGTAATAATAATAAACAAAAATATTAGTATATTTTACTTAATKTATAAAATGTTTTTTTTTWAATAAATATTTATATGATTTTGTAGGTCAATAGTCAATAAAAAAAGTAATGTTAYTTTTTGTTTTACTAATAGCAATATGTTTTATATTAATCAATTTAATATAATATAAGTTATATAACTATACAATTGGACAGTTAGCAACAGCAGTGATAAYATTTATTGATAATAATAATACAGTAGTTGTATAATAATAATGTTAATAATGGTAATAAAAAATGTAAATTTTCCAGGAAATCACTCTCTCTCTCTCTCTCTCTCTCTCTCTCTCTCTGGCAGTCCATTAGTGGACAGCAATCCATACCCTTGAGATTGATAGCTAACAGTCCCTGAAGATAGAGAGTAAGTGTGTGTAAGAGAGAGAGAGAGAGAGAGAGAGAGAGAGAGAGAGAGAGAGAGAGAGAGAGAGAGAGAGAGAGAGAGAGAGAGAGAGAGAGAGAGAGAAGCCATGAAAATATAGTACCAAAAAAATAATGTTTTTAATGCAATCAACACAATATATATATATATACTGTAATATTGGATACCATATACTGTATATATATATAYTGTATATATATATACTGTATATATATATACTGTATATATATATAYTGTATATAGTATATAATAGCATTTATATACTATAATATAGTAATGTTTAGTATAGTTTATATACTRTAATGTCCATCAATTTTACATACACTTATATATATATAGTAATATATATGATAAGTGTTATTACCGTACAACAGTGGGGGGGGGTAAAAAAATATTAGACAATGTAACATGTTAAGTTTAGGTTTTTTAWATAAAAACTAAAWAAACYAAAAATAAAATTACCATAAATAGCATTTTTTGATCRTATATATATTGTATTATAGTATAGCATATTACTAACTCTAGTTGTYTAGTTTATGTAACTACCGTTCCTCATCCCCTACTCATAATGTATAGCATATTTTGAGTCCCCTATTATATAATATATTACTAACCAAAAAAAAATAAATATTATGTATGTCCTCTAAAATAATGGCATCCGGTATTAGTATATGGATATAGATTTTTTTGTATGTATGTGTCTGATCCCCGATTGACATCCCTATCCCCGACTCTATATAATRTCTATATTATAAATGTATTCAAACAAAAACATTACAGTATTAAAGGACAGTCTCCTGTAGGTTGTCTTTAGTAGAGGAATGTTAGGTAAAGAAAAACGGAATTAAATATCTAAATAAAAAAATGATTTATTTATTTATTTTTTCCAAAAAAAAATAYTTATTATTTAGGAAATTATATATAAACTAAAATTTTTTATAAAATTTTTTTTGTATCAATAATACTCTATAAACTTTCTATAATTCAAAAAAATATTTTACATACTTTTAAATTATGTATACCAGGAAAATATATATATTCAATACTTGAAATTTTTTAATTAATTTATTTTAAAACAAAATATTTTTCTAATTTTTTTTTGWACAAAAATTTTATGATAAAATATACTCTACTTAATAGATAAATATTTTTCATAATTTTTAGATAAATATATAACAAAAAATAAGTTTCATATCTAATAGATTACTAAAAAAAATATTTTTAATCTAAAACAAAATTCCTTAAAATAACAAAATTTTTGAAATATTTTTAAAATATATATATATATATATATATAWACCTAAAACAATATACTGTATATTTGTTTTTTAAAATAAATAGTTTTATATATAATAGTGAAAACATAGTAGTAGTGAACGAAGACAATCAATAGCCATTCACAGAGAAGCATTCATAGCCCAGGGTTTGTCTTGTATTAGTAAAACTCGAAGTTAGAAAAAACTGTTCAAGGTTATAAAACAGTTGTTTTTTGGGAGGGGAAAAATTTAGTTTTCAGAGGGAGGGAAAATTTTAAATGTTTTAGAGTGGTAATAGTTATGAAGATTTCATTGGTAGTTACTGAAAAATGTGATAACTGATGAAGTTAAACAATGAGAAATGTTTTGTAAAATCGCAATTAATACAATGTATTAATTACCTAAATTACATAACATAACACATCCTCTAACTGATTTTTTTTATAAAAAATATTTTATTGATTAAAATAAAAAAATGATTACATATTAAAATTAAAAATAAAAAAAA